TGACTGAAGTGACTTAGCAGCAGCAGCATGGTCTCAATTCAACCATCTTAAGGTTTTCCAGCTTAAGAATAATAAACTCAAAGTGAACAGAAGTTTGAGTGGAGATCAGTGAAAAAACAGAAAAATAGTAGAGGAAAATCGATGAAACAAAAAGTTCTTTGAAAAGATCTATAATATTGTTATACCTTGAGATAGATTGCCCTTTTAAAAAAGAATAAACAGATTATCAATATTAGGTATTGAAAAAGGGGATATTACTATCATACAGAAATTAAAAGTATTGTTAGGGAAGTTTATCAGTCAGTTTATACCAACAAATTGGACAAATCTTAAAAAGACATACACTGGCAATGTACCTGGCAGTCCAGTGGTTGGGTCTCTGAGCCTCCAGTGCAAGGGGTGATGAGCTAATCTCTGTCTGTCTGAGAACTAAGATCCCACAAGCTGCATGGGAAAGGAAAAAAAGACATATATTAATATAAATACACTCAAAAACAATTAGAACATTTCAACGTGCTTATAAAAAGTAAATAGTTATTATATATATTCCCGTAAGGAAATGCCTAGGCCTAGATGGCTTTACTGCTAAGCATTTTTCAGATAGTTCAGTTCAGTTTAGTCGTTCAGTTGTGTTCCACTCTGCGGCCCCATGGACTGCAGCACCCCAGGCTTCCCTCTCCATCACCAGCTCCTGGAGTTTGCTCAAACTCATGCCCATTGAGCCAGTGATGCCATCCAACCATCTCATCCTCTGTTTCCCTCTTCTCCTCCTGCCTTCAGTCCTTCCCAGCATCAGGGTCTTTTCCAGTGAGTCGACATTTTGCATCAGGTGGCCAAAGTATTGGAGCTTCAGCTTCAGTGTCAGTCCTTCCAATGAATAGTCAGGAGGGCACTCGGGGCCCTCAGCAGCGGAGGTGGGAGGACCCAAGGGTGGGTATGAGACCTCTTAGCCGGAGGGTGAGGAACATGTGGGCCGTCCTGACCCTAATCTATACCATTAATACCAACTCACCCCCCTGGAGACAGCCAGAGGCTCTACCAGCCGGACAGCGCTGGAAATGGGCCTCAAACGCTCACGCCAGCTCGGCCCAGCAGAGAGATGTTTAATGAAGCATTATTATTAACATTAATACATATGTAAACTCTTTTGAGAAATGGAAGAAGGAACTTTTCAATCTCCTTTATGAATATAGTATCATAATGATGTACTATTGTAAGAAAACTGCAGTTATTTCTCCTGAACATACCTGTAGAAATTAACAAAATAATAACAGACCAAATCCATGAATATATTAGAAGTATTAGACATTTGTGATCAGGTTGGGTTTATCCTAGGAATGCAGTGAAGTTTAAAATCTGTAAAACAATTAATGTAGTATTCTTCATTAGTAAAAGAGTGGACAGAAGCTACATGATCCTTTCAGTAAGCAGAAAAAAAAATTTTGACAGAACTCAAAACTCTTTCCTGATAAAATTTTTAAAATTTAGCTCTATGGAAGGAAACTTCCTCAGTAACCCTTGTCTAGAACATGTATAAAAATTCTGTGCTGTAAAAAGTTTTTAGTTTCCATTTTTTCATTTATATCTCTGATCCATTTCTAATTTTTGATTATGGTATTAAAATCTTCCTTTTTTCTGTATTGATATGTGGTGGTTTTATCACTACTTGTAGATAATATCTTTCCCCCCATTGAATTCCCTTGGCACTTTTGTCAGAAATCAATTGAACATATATGTGTGGGTCTGATTTTGTTCTCTCGGTCCTGTTTTATTGATCTGTAAATTAATCTGATACCATACTGTCTTGAATATTCTAGCTTTATAAAATTATCTTGAAATGTAAAATATTCCATCTTCTTGTTTTCCAAAATTGGTTTAGTTATTTTAGATCTTTTACATTTCTATGTAAATTTTATAATCATCATGTCTATGTCTCTAAGGCAACTTGTTGATTACATTGAATTTGTAGAACATTTCCATCCATAAATTAGGTATATCTTATTTAGGACATCTTAATTTTCTTGTCAGTTTTTTTTTGTCAATGTTATATAGTTTTTTTTTAGTTGGCAGTTTTATTGAGGTTTTGTGCATGTTTTTATAAACTTATTTCAAGTATTCTGTGTTTTCATTCTACCTTTACTGGAATTAATTTTTTTTCAGATTGTTCATTGCTGATATACAGTAAAAGCATTGGTTTTTTAATATTGAGCTTGTATCCTTCAGTCTTGGTAAATTCACTTGTTTCTTTCTTAAAAAAAAAAAAAAAATTGTTTGCACCAATTTAATTTGTGCCACACTGCTTGCAGTCAGCTTCTTACTTCCTTGACCAGGGATCAGACCTAGGCCACAGCAGTGAAAACCCTGAGCACTAACCACTGGACTGGATTCCCTAAAAACAGAATGTATAGAATTTACTTAATGTACAGTCATGTCATCTCCATTGCAGCTTTTCTCATGCCTTTCATGTATACGTTATTGTTCTAGGAATTCAGATAGTTGGAGTGTGTTTCTTTATGTCAGTACTTTAGCTGATAAATTCAGAAGGAATGATATAATTACAAAATGGCTTTTTCAGTAGCCCCTAATAACACTTGAGGTCTGGTCACTGATGAAAAATGGATACTAAATCTAATAGACGGAAAACTGATAGGAAAATTTCTAGTATTGTGGGCGTATCAAATTGACAGTGTCTAAAACCACTCACTGTTTTTAACACTACTAACAACTGGCACAACCAGACATTATGTGTCTACATATGTGATGTGGTAGAATATTCCACTAGGTCTTTAAAAAAAAAAAAAAGCGCTTCTGTTTCTCTGTTGAATTCATGTCTATCTCACTTTCTTAAACACTCAGAGCATACTTAGAAATAGCTGCTTCAGTGTTGTCTGTTGATTCTCTCACTGCTGACAGCTGTAGATCTGTTTTTATAGATTGGTTTTTCTTTGGCTATGGATAATATAGTCCTCTTTGCATGATATTTTTTTGTTTTACTGGATGTCAGATTTCTATGTTGCTGTATTCCACCTTTTGTGTTATTTCTTTTTTTTTTTCTATTTATTTTTATTAGTTGGAGGCTAATTGCTTTACAATATTGTAGTGGTTTTTGCCATACATTGACATGAGTAATATCTGTTTGAGTGAGTCTAGCACTTCTTTAGTGTAGACTAATTTATCACATTGCAAAGGAAGTAGATTTCTGAAGATCCTACCTAATGTTCCGTATATTATGTAGTCTTTCAACATAATACAAATTATGTAGAATACATAATACAGATTCTTTACCATCTGAGCCACCGGGAAGCCTGGTCTTTACACACCCCAAATCTGTCTCTGTCTTTTGAATTCAGTGACCCTGGCAGACTCTGCTAGGTTTCTCCCTTTTTGCATTGTAGCCTGGAGATTACCTGTACTTAGTAAAATTGGGATGTTGTAAGGGTCATCTTGGGTTTTTAATTTCCTCTCTAAAGCATCCACATACATGTCCTACCTACTTTCCAAAATCTTGAAACTGTTGTTTAATGTGTTTTGTCTGATTTTCCTTTTTTTTTTTCCCACGTAGGAGAGCAAATCTATTCCCTGTTATTCCATCTTGAAAGTAAACTTTTACAAATTTGCTTTTATTGTTTTATGTATTACATAAGGTAGGAGTTTCGGTGGGAGGAAGAACAAAAAAAGCAACACAGGCTAGTGCTTAAGGAAAAACAGCAGTGATTTTTTTGTTATGTTAAAAGTAAGTTCATTTGGATTTTGATTAGGATTTTGTTGTAAACTAATATTTGTATATATTCACATACTTTGTGGAAAGTTGACATTTTTATAATAGCTTCCTTGTAAGTATGTGCTATATCACTTCTTTTATTATGCCCTATTTTCAATTCATCAATAACATTGTATAGTTTTTTTATAAGTGATTTCTGTATTTTCCTTATTAAATTTATATTTTGGTATTTATAGTTGCATTATTAGTGGAGTTTTAAAGTTATTTTTTATAGTGTTTTATTTATATATTTTATAATTAACCATAGTACTTAATTTCCATTTTGTAGTATTTTAGATTGATTTTATTGCATATTAAGTATATTAACCTTCTGTGTTGTCTAGTATTTTTTTATACCCCACCTTTTAAAAAATTCAGTTCATCTTTTAAAATGAAAATTAAAAAATTTTTAAATTTCAGTATTTTCTTTATGAGTGCTTTCTTCTTTTGATTTGCTTAGAAATCTTTCTTCCAGACAAATACATAAAAACTCAAATTTTCTTTGAGTACTACTGCAGTTTTTATTTTTTCCAAAGAGCTATCCAGGGATTCTAACACTTTTTTTTTTTTTAATGAATCACTTCTGTATCTTACTTTATTTTGTAATACATTCAAGTGATAATATCTTAAAGTTTTTATGTCATCTAATATCAGTTTCAAAAATTTGTTCTTTTTAAATATTCTGTAATTTTAGCGTTACTCTTCAGTAGGTGTAGTTTTGGGGCTCCCCTGCTGGCTCAGCAGTAAAGAATCGGTCTGTAATGCAGGAGACCCAGGTTCAATTCCTGGGTTGGGAAGATGCCCTGGAGGAGGGCATGGCAACCCACTCCAGTGTTCTTGCCTGGAGAATCCCCATGGACAGAGGAGCCTGGTGGGCTACAGTCCGTGGGGTCACAGGGTCGGACAGGACTGAGCGACTAAGCAGCAGCAGCAAGTGCGGTTTTTCTTTAATTCAACACATACTAATAGATGTTCAAAATTTGAGATTAGGTAGGTATCTTTTATAATCAGTTTTAGAGACTAGTTAAAGGCAGAATTTTTAAAATAATTATCACACTGTGTATTGAGGCCACATATCTGGGCAAGTAAAAGAAGGGGATTTTTTGGTTTGTTTTTAAAAAAATCTTGAAGTGATAGAATCACAATTTTTTGGTTAACATCTAAGTTTTTTGGTTCATTTTTTTTCTGTATTGATAAATTTTATAACCTTTGCTAAAGAAATATTTTTCTGTTTTTATAGTTTTGGTAAGCAGTTTGGAGGAAAAAGAGGATGTGATTGTCTTGTGTTAGAGCCTTCAGAAATGATTGTGGTAAGAACTTTAACAAATGTTGAATTCCTTTTTGTTATGCTTCACTTTCAACTTTAAATGTAGTAATCTGTTAAATACTCAAAAAGGTTCCATTAATGTGACTTTTTAAATGTTTTACTAAGTAGCATCAAGCCATATATATTTATACATACCTAGTTTGATGCATTTTCATCCACTTTGAATATTTTTTCTGATTCTTGAGAGAATTTGAAACACAATGCAGTTATATATTAAAGTATTACCAATTTGATAATTCCTTTACTGCATTCACCAGAAAATTTAAATAAGAGCTCTGAAAGGGAACTCTGATTTTCCTATTCAATATAAGTAATAATCTTTGAGCATCCGTGTTCTGTACCCTGGACTTGAGAGAAAGAGATAGAAGAAAAGAAACGCAATTATATCCAAGTAAGAAATGGTTTACATTTTAATATTTTAAGAGTATATTTAAGGAATAGTTCTTTACTTTTTCTCAAGAAAGCTAGGTAGTTAATTTAATTTTAGAAAATAAGACTTTTTTCCTTCACCATTTGAAGAATCCAGAACACAGCTCTTTTTTACCTTGTTCTGAGATGACCTTACTAGAAAACAGCTGATATGAATGGATGCTTTGTCCTACTAGCATCTCATGTAGATGATCATGTCATCTGATTTGATTTAAACTATTGAGAAATGAGGTTGAATTCTTAACGTAGCCTTAAAACTAAACTACTTTTTTATTTCATGGTGTTATAGTCAGATTGACATCTTCAGGTAGATTCTGTGATCTCTTTGCCAAATTGGGTCATCTACGTTATCATGAGCTTAGTGTCCTAAATTTCACTAATTTAGCAACTGGATTTTAATCTCCTAAAAGGCTGAGATCAGTTTTTATTCTGGTTGTGTCTTCGATAGTATTGCAGGGTACTTCCCACATAGTAAATAAATAATCAGTAAATTTTACTGGTTGTCAAGTTTGTTCAAGGCTTAGACTATGTATTTGTATTATGTTTATTTTCTTTAAGTGTTGGTATACATGGCATATTTATTAAGGCTTCAGAACTCTTTCTTTTAAATAAGTGCATTGAGAGACATGGCAGGAAAACTGCTTCAGGCAGTAGGGTTTTCTCATTTATTTGTGATGTGTATTTCTCATGCTTTATGGAAAAAGAATGGTGCTTTTGCCATAGTGTTTTCATATGCAATTGACCCTTAGAAAACATGGATTTGAACTGCTCAGTCCACTTAGGCAGGTATTTTTCAGTAGTAAATTCTGCAGTACTACAGTCTGGTTGGTTAAATCCATGTATACAGAGGGCAGGCTATAAGTTATATGTAGATTAAGCAACACCTTGTACATACTTCTGTTTTACTGTGGTTAAATACACTTAAGATGAAATTTACTGTCTTAGCCATTTTTAAATGTAGAGTTCAATTTATTAAGTTAATTATTAAATTTATATCTTTTAATTTTCATTTTGAATTAAAGGGAAGAATTGTACTTCTCTTGCCCCAAGCCTGGAGTTAACCTTTTCTGTGAGGAGATCTGCTTGCTCTTAGTGGAAAGCAGTATTGAGAAGCCAAGATCTGGCAGCTGACTGTCTTCATTGCTTCAGGTGCCTCAGTGCTTGTAAACCCTTTCAGTGAACAGAGCGAGAAAATACACATCTGAGTGTATTTGTATACACACACAGACATACACACTTACATATACACCTCTGTATTTACTTCTTTTATATCTATCTATTAAAACCTGGAGTTAATTCTCATATTCTCTTTTGTTTATTTGTACCTTCTTTCACTAAATGGTGAGAAACTTGGTCCATTACCACCAAAATATTTACTTAAGACAGTTTTAAAATTGCTTGCTCATAACAGTGTAGAAAACACCACTAGCTAGAGTATTAACATATACATATACACTTATTTTAAGTGTACAATTTATTGATATTACAAATGTATGCCACTCATAATCTATCTCTCTATCAAAATATAAAATATTTGCATCACCTACCTTACAAAGTAAGGAAATATTCAGAGAATTATAGGGGCCTTACAGAAGGACAGAGAAAGGCCAGTGGGAGAACTAGATTAAAGGATCTCCCTTTGGCCACATACGGGACTGTGAGAATCCAAATAAAATGCATAGTAACTGATTGTACCCTCCTGTATAATAAAGAGTTTATAAGTTCTAATATTTTGAATGAATGAAAAGGAGAATTTCTTCCTGATAGTCAAATGCCAACTAATATGTCTTAAAGGAATGATTAAGTTACAAAATAATGAATGAATGCTAAAACTTGTCACTAATGTTTGTTGAGAAACGGGATACTTAAATAATCTCATTTTATCTCCCCACAAATCATTTATGAAGGGAAAATTACCAATTTTTGATGGGTAAACAGAAGGATATGACACCACCACTGTAACAAAAACTATTGCTACTGCTGTCAGTATAGGCATAACATGATATCATACTGCTCCTGATACAGTGTACTGAAGAGGACAGAACATCATCTCTGAGAAGTATGCCTGCTGGAAGTGCATGTCTGAAACTAATCATTAAGAAATATCAGATAGACCAAAAAAAAGACATTATTCAAATTTTTGGCTTATATTCTTCAAATATCCCAATGTCAAGAAACATCACAGAAAGACTGAGAAACTGTTTCATGTTGAAGGAGAAAAAAAGATATAACTAGATGGAATGCTTTTTATCTTGCATTAAATCTTGGAGGCAGAAGAGGGTCGTAGCTGTAAATGATGATGTTGGCACAGTTGAGATTTGAACCTGGCCTGTGGTCAGTGGTCCTCAACCTTTTTGGCACCAGTTTCGTGGGTGACAATTTTTCAGCCACTGGGGTGGGTGGTGATGGTTTTGAGATTATTCAAACTCATTACATTTATTGTACACTTTATTTCTCTTAATATTAATACATCATCTCCACCTCAGATCATCAGGCATTAGATGCCAGAGGTTGGGAATACCTGGATTAGATACTGTTGAATTTCCTGTTTTTGATTATTTTGGGGGGATTGTGTAAGATAAAGTCTTTATTCTAAGGAAATACATGTTGACACATTTTAGGGTCAAGAATCAGTTTCTCTTCAATTTATGCTCAGTGTTTCAGAAAAACAAAAACTATGTGCAAGTATACAATTTTAAAAATCACCCAAAAAGTCACATCAACTGTATATATTTATGATTGGTAATTTTTTAATTCCATAACTCTTAACCTTATTGATGAGCAGCATAGGTAAAAATGCATTATGAGTAATAGGAGAAAATAATCTAAAATAATATTAGGATTTTTCTTTCTGAAGTTTTTGAGGATTTTATTTTCATTCCACCATTTGATGAATCTTTTTTTCTTTTTTTTTTTTTTAGTTTTTCACTACTGTTACATCCTTTGAAATACAAAATTGTACTTAATGTTTTGTTACAGTACAGATCTTTGATACCTCAGGGTATCTTTTAGGTGAAATTATTTACAGTTCATAAAAATGCTTGGTCCCAGTGTGTACTTGGACAAATGTACATATGTACATATGTATTTGGTCTGAGTATACATAAGTAACAGGTTACTATTTTGACAAGTTCTATCAAATGGTTTTATTATGTATATATTTCTACAAATGTTGTGAGTAACCGCTGGTGATTGGGAATGCCTATTTCTGAACACCTTCCTTGTTACCTGATAGGTTAGTAATCCCAATCTGACACATCATAATGAAATCTTAATTTGTGCAGATTATCATATGTTTCATGGAAGGCTTATTTTTATTATCCATGTCTCTTGCCAGTTTTTCTACTAGGATTACTCTTTGTGTTCATAAGAACTTTTTATTACTATGAAAATGAACACTTTTGTTATAAGAGGTGGTTTATCATTTTATAACTAGTCTAAAGTGAATTTTGCTCCGTGAAGAGGTTCTCTCAGGGTTACTTGAGATGCTGTCTCCTGGGCTTGAAGTCCTAAAAATTCCTGCCAAGTAAAACATAACAAAAAATTAAATTGAATTTTGTGTCTATTAACAATTTTTTTTTAAATCTGTTGAGTTTTTTCCGTCTTACAACTTTTTGGTTTGAAGTCATATTAGAAAACCTTCTGATGACAGGATTATTGAAGTTTTTTGGGGTTTTTTTGGAAGTTTTAAAATCTGTATTGCTTTATTTAATTTTATCAGTTCACTGTTTTAATTAAACTTTTAAATCTTACTTCTTCTGGGCAGCTGAAGACAGTGGTAAACACTTAACTACCTGTCTCCGAATATTTCCTCCAAAAACAATGTAGTACTAAAAGAAGGGTGTAAGAAATCTATGCACAAACCATTGTCACAACACAAGTTAAAACCAGAGGATGCTCAAACTTGAAAATAATTGTAAATATAAAGAGAGAAATTACCAGTTCCCAGCTTGTTATCTCTCACACTTAATCTCTACTCCCAACCTTCCAGCAAAACTTTATGATGAGTAAAGGCCAACCATCCAGATCCATAGAAAACCCAGAAAATGGAAGCTAGCAAATGGAGAAATGGTTGGCCTACACTGCAAGAAGACTAATTCTACACTAAGTGCAAAATATGTGTGTACATATGCATATGTCAGAACAAAAACTACGTTATTTAAAATTATGAGTAATTTGCAGAATAGTCATCTACATGCAGAGTTCAGGATTAAGAGAAAAGGTTTTAAAAAGGGCACAAGCTGCCTTTGGCATTTAAGTGCTGAAGAAGCACATGAGTAAATATTAGGTTCCTGCAAGCCGAAGTGAACACAAAATCAGGCTTTGCAACCTCTCCTTCCACTAGCAAAATGAAAAAAATAGCTTAAAATATCTGTCCTTAAAAATATTTGACAAAAGTGAGTGTGCTTAGTCACTCAGTCATGTCTGACTCTTTGTGACCCCATGGACTATACAGTCCATGGAATTCTCCAGGCCAGAATACTGGGGGTGGGTAGCCTTTCCCTTCTCCAGGGGATCTTCTCAACCCAGGGATGGAACCCAGGTCTTCTGCGT